GGATAGATGGGCCGGGTCAGCACAGGCTTGGAGCTGCCAGTGACACACCAAATGGGGTGTCCACTGGTGAAAAACACTGTGCAGAGGGCTATCTGATATTCTATCTGAGGCCGTTTGAATTGCTGTATTGCTTCCTGAAATCCTTAGTAAAGATTAGTACTACAAATATCCTATGCCATTGTTTTGATAGCAATCAAAGGAGCTGATTATCATCCATTCCAGACCCAAGAGGCCACGTGTGGATACACAAGCCTACATATCCATGCCTGTCCTCACCCCCACAATAGCTCCTCCTGGACTTGGGATCCCCATACCGGCAAAAGGCCCTGTGGAGGAAGAACCCAGGAAGAGGTCTGTGCAGCCCCTAGAAAGCTCCCCAAGGGAACGTGTGCAGGAAGTTTCGGAGTCTGGGGCACCACAGCGTGATCCAGAAGGACGTCTAGGAAACCCATGTGGTGATTAGCTATAGACCATCTAACCCTGTAAAAGACAGTCTAGTGCTTTCTGTGCTGCAGAAAGCCCGTTCTCAGAGCAGTGAGAGGGCATAGCATGGCGTCGGGCAGCGAGGCTAACCACGCCTACCACAACAACGCTGCAGCATAAAGACTCTGAAGATAATGGAGGATGGGACACCGATGGAAGCCTTTCTGTGAAGCTCATCTATCAGCAACATTACAAATAATATTCTGTTAACCCACGGTAACAGTTCAAAAGATGCAATCCACAGATGCTTGAGGATATTTACGAATTCATCTAAAATTCAAGGGGAGGGTGGAGAGATCAGTTCAGAATAAGGAGGGAAAATGCCAGGGACTTGCTGTTACGGTCATGCCAACTCTAGCTTAAAATTATTACACAGGACCATCACGCTACTGCCTCTCCAGCCTGGACAGGAAACCGCATAGGTTGGTGTCATCATCTCTAAGTCTGGCTGATGCTCAGGAGAGCCCACACGCGGGAGGGGAGGTGTAATAGGAAGCCTCACTGAAGGAATGAGGTCTGAGCTTCCTCTTACTGTCCGAGCCTTACCATTCTCTATAAAAAACCCGAGACCCCATACGGCCTATGTCACCATGTGAAATGACAAAAAGGATCGAAAATTAGAAGACGCGAGTCAAAGAATGTCATCGCAATGGGAAGTAGTGTTCCTTATAATTGCAAAAATAAATACATAAACGTGATACCTAAAAGTTTATTAAAATACTTGTTAATATACGGTTTCTCAGAGTCCTGCAAAATCCCTGAGAGGTGATTGGTTGGCAATGGTCCCCATATGATAAGTGAAAAGACCGAGGCTCAGAGAAGACTGGCTTGTCCCAACCCTGGCAGTTAGTGACAGCAAACCCAGATTCCCCAGGACCTGGGCCTGTTCATCTCACCGAGCATATGGTCTGGAGGGTCCTTTGTTCAATTAATGTCACTCTGGAAAACCGTGTGAGCCATTGTTCTTTAATCACAGATATATTTCGCAAGTCATGTATATTTATTACAAACCCGTCACAAGTTAAATAAAACCATATCTATCCACATGACATAATACGCTATTTATTCAACAGCCAATTCGATTATAATGAAAACATACCAGTCTAATTACACAAGAAAGCAGGAGGATGGCAAAACCCAGAAAAAAGTAGGACAATATAGAGTTGTCGCCGAATAAATGAGTGAATCTGTAACTGACTTAGTGATATCTACTGCGTCGCATTTGCTTGAATAAGAAAGAGGAATGGTTACGTAAGAGGATTCCCGAGTGTAGGTGCTGATGCGGGTACAGGCGGAGACCACGGGAACGAGCGCGAGCACGCACGACAGACTCCAAAAGCTGAGTCAGTTTGCGGCTTCTAGTCACAAAGAATTATTGCAGATTTGGGGTCTCGAGGTTGCCTGCAGAAGCATGTTTAATCCACATATAGTTGAACTATGACAGCAAGACCTTTATGGGACCTATGCACCATTTAAAACACTGCTGGTAAGGGGTGGCTGTGCAAGGCACAGCTTCATGAGGCCACAGACTAAACGCTGCCTCTGGGCCCCGCCCTGCGACATTGCTTCTTGACGGCCTTGCCCCACGCCTCCTTCCAGCCTCGGCTCCCAGCAGACACTAAGAACTGGTTGCTGAATTCTAGCAAAGAGCAAGAACAGTGCTGTTCCCTCCCTCTCGCCCTGAGAGCTGGCTCCGAGGCGGTGTGTCACCGCAGGAAGCGGTGGCGAGGGTAGAGAACCGCCCTGCGGTGGAGGCCGAGGAAGTGGGAACGAACGATGATGGCACCTGTGAAAAGGCTCTGCCCCACTGACACAGACTACTTGAAGATAAGGGTCATTTGTGAGTCAGCCATCACTGTTTTGAAAATTTCCTATATTACTCCTCAAGCAGAGTTTCTTGTGGGTGACATTAGCCAATGACTGCGGTGTAGCTGTGGGTGGTCCATCAATTTGCTACCCTGAACTTGAGCGCCCCTCTCATGCCCCCCAGTACGTGCCACCCTTGCCTGGGCCACAGGCTTCCTGCCAGCTCCCATCCTGGGGCATTTACACTTACGGGCCCCTCTACCTGGAATGTTCCTTCAACAAAATCTTCTGCACAGCTTATCATTCCAGCCTCTGCTCCAACATTACCCACCTCCCCCCAGACACCGGATCTAAAGGTCCTCTCCCGTCACTTTCTAGCTCGTTGCCCTATGTGATCTTCATCAGAGCACTTAGTATCTGATGTAGTATGATCAGGCTACTTGTTAGTTCCACTGAGCAGCAAACGTGTCTGTCATTTTCTCTTTCTTGAAATGATCTAAACTGAGAAAACAACCCTTTCCTAAACTTTCATTTAAATCACTCCAATTTATTTCAAAGGTCATTCCTACCCTCCCCCACCGCCGACCACCCTCCACACATATACCTTTAAGGAAATGTCCTCCGGCACTCAGTTAACATGAGAACTGCACACATGTACCTTCTATGTGCTGCAATCAAGCACTCGTGAGGGAGCTCCGGCAGCAGAGATGCTGCTAAAAGTCATCCTGAGTTTACAGAGGAGAGGAGGGCGTGACAGTGACCATGAAGTCACTAAGCTGTCAAGGTTCTTTCTTCCCTACAGGAAGCATCACGTGCCTTCCAGTGAGCTCATTTCAGACGAGAGAACCCGAAAGCCATACTCCAGCAGCAGTAGCAACCCCAAGTCTTCAGAGTCCCTGATACTAACGCCCAGGGTCAATGTTGAGATGCCTGGAACCCATCTTAGTAAACCCTCTGCGGGATGAGCTTGTCTTGGACAAATCCAGCATCTCTGAGATTCTGGCCTACATTCGCAGTTGAGGGCACAGGCAATGGAGCCAGACAGCCTGTGTTCAAATCTCCGCTTTGCCACCAGGTAAGCTACGTGACCTTGGGGAGCTAGTTACTTCACCAACACCAAGTGTTCTTTCACGAGGGAAACTGAGTCCTACAGAAATGACTTTACAAAAGGTTGAGAATTTTTTGTTTGTTATTTATCCGAAAAAAATGGGAGTGATAATAGCACCCATCCTTAGGGCTGTATTGTAGATTAAATGAGTTAACTAACACAGAAAACACTAGCTATTGCTATTATCATTCCTCAGCCAAACATTTTGCTTTCCCTTGACTAACTGAGAAAGGCCCCAAGGCCAAATGCATTTAAATGCACATAAGTCATCAGGAAATGTATCTAAGAGATCTATTAGGGCAACAGAGCACAGAAGAAGACAATGCGTTTACTGGTTTTACAACTAGGGTGGCATCTATCGCAGAGCGTGGAGCTGTGGTCTTTAAACTCTGGGGTTTACCACAGAGTGACAGGGACACCCAAGCAGCCAGCACAGCAAAGTAACTGTTGCCAGTCCTCAGATTATCACGACGATCTATTCCACGTTTGGCCGAAGTCAGTAAAATATGTGACATAAAAACTGAAAATTAAGCTTTCGAGTAGAAATTTTCCTTGGACATTTCTATAGGATTTGGTTTCCGTTACTGAAGAAAATTCGGGGGATCGTGTGATATTTATTCAATACATTATTGAGCACAAAGCACTTGGGAAACAGAGAATCTATATAAGACAAGAAACTCTTCCTCCAACAACTGACAAGGTACTTTGTAGAGTCTTCGAAAGATGCGAAGCCAAGAGAAGGACTATTAGGTCTGAAATGCATGCTCTTCAGAGCCAGAAAATGGGAGACAATCTCACACAATCTCACCCGTAAACAGTTTTGCTATCGCGAACTAGTATTTTTATCTAATGTTTGCATGTGCATTATAAGCACCGAAACTTCTCAGGTCGGACCAGAGTTATTAAAATTTCCAAAACAGTTTCATTTCCATCTACATCCTTCCAAATTCAGCAGTAACACTGTACCACTTTATACCACTTTAATGCCTCTGCAAGACTGATATATAGTTTTTGTACTTTTATAGCTAACAGATTTAAATGATGTCATAGGACCAAAATTATTAACATCTAACATACACCGAACCACTAGTTATTTTAATTCATGCTTTTATATAGATATCACGTTCTCAAAGCACAATATTCATATACATAATTATCTGAGACTCACTTGAATATGAGTGATTTGGATATTTGCAAAAGCCTGTCATTTGAGACAGACGTCACAGCAACCATTCCAAAATACTTGGTTAACGCTGCATAAATGCTATTAATTGCGTTCTTATGATGCTCTATTGCCTTGAATCTTTTCAACATATTTCATAATGAAAAGTGATTTCACTGTACCAGTACCTTGCCATTCTTACAAAGAAAGACGTTGCAACTCCATTTCTTCAAGTAAACAAAATGGGACTATTTCGGAGAAGTAAAAGAAATTTGAAGGGAATGTTGTAAAATTAAAAACCTATGAGAAAAGAACAGTGCTTCTTCATATAGCATCCCAAGCTGAGTCTTACTGAAAGAGGACGACTGCTTCAGTGCTTCAGAGCTGAAAATCACGACATCGTTAACTTGAAATGAGAAAATGTCGCTCTCGGTGGCTTACCTCGTCGTCCTTATACCAGGACAAGCTTTCCGCAGTGAGGACGAACCAGTATCCCTTGGAGCCTCCTTTCATGATGCCGATGTTGCTGATGGTCAGCCAGCCCTTGCGAATCACCTACGAGAGAGCACAGTCCGCAGAGACGCTTAGTTCAACGTGGGCCAACGGAGACCGCCGGTCTTGCACTAAGTGAAGTTCAAAACGAATTACAGTAGGAACGGCATCGCTCCCCCAGAGCTCACCCTCCGTTAAGCCATTGATGATAATTTATCTTCCAAAAACTACAGATAACCAGAGGGAAGTCTCTCCCTTCAAATGAACAAAATCAAAATGGCGGTCGTATGCACCTAGCAGAAGCAGAGCCTCTGAGGCAGGAATGAAGCGAGGCTGGTGCCAGGCCCGTTTGTGGGAAAAAGCTGGAACAATAAGCTACACTTGAAAGCTGGGAGGTTTTTAATGGTCTGGATTTATCTGTCTACTTCTGGTTGTTATTTGCCATACTGAAAAATATGTAACATCTTCATAAAAGTCTTTAAACGGCATCAATATTTTAAAACATTTAGAACTCAGATTACTGATTTGATAGAAATAGTTTATAAATAGCATTTAAGTAAAAATTTATTTTGTCTCACAGTTGTTGTAAAGTGAAGCGTTGTTTTCCACATGGCATAGTTTACCATTTTCTCTATGCTAGATAATTTTGTGGTCATGGAACCAGAAATGAAATACTATGTGGAATTGTATGATATTGTTTTAAATGTAAAAAATCATCCTATACCTAAAGTGTTCAATATCCCAGAGAGCCTGAAATATTGTTAAAATTACTGAATTATTGAATGACTAATGATGTCAGTTCCTAAAGGAAGATGAAAATACCCTAATAATCTAATTTTATATTTATATTGCTATTAAGTTTTCTAATTAAAAAGGAAAAGTCGATCTTAAGGAAAATTGTGCAATAAGTCAAGGTTATCATCACCGAGCTTCCAAGCCTCTCTCCAGACTCTAGTCCCTGATTTAGCATCTCCTAGGTGCCCAATCTCCTTTTTTACTGCTCTGTTTACATTTTGTAGACCCCCACACAGAAGCCCATTGACGCCCGGGCTAAAGCAGTTCTCTCCACTGTTCAAAATTACTCCTTCTTATAACCTTCTGTGTCAGGAAGAAGAAAACAGTACTTCTCAAGGTATGGTTTATGGTTTCTACCAGCTATATCATAATCATGGGGATGCCTTCTAAAAGTGCAGATTCTTGGGCCACCTACAAGGCTAAATGAATCAAAATTTGTTCATATGAAACCCAGGAATCTACATTTTAATATGTGCCTAAGGTGATTCTTATTCATACTGAAGTTTGAAAACCACTACATGTATACATAATATCAAAACTTCATCATCCTTAGAGCAAATGATCTCATCTAATTTTTACTAAGGAACTGATTAAGTTATTTCACACTAGCATTGCTACCCACCTTACCAGAGCTTATAAACAGCATACTAACCACAGTACTCAATGAAAGTATGTTTATTATTTTATTTTACAGGTATGTTTGCATAGAGAGAAAGTCTTTCAGATGATCTACCAATTACAATTAGCAAATCACTATTTTACCCACCAATTAACAGGCTCCATCAAGGAGAACCGTGAATTTAGTTCGACAAACATTTCTTAAGAACCTATCATAGGTCAAGATGAAGAAAGCATGATGATGCTACAGTCCCTGACTTCAAGAATCTTACAGCTTAGTAGGGAATGCAGATCCATAAGGAGATAATTTCCACATCATAGTGTAGTACGAGATGTATGCTAAGCAAATGAAGGGGCACTTGACACAACTTTAAAAGCTGTAATAGGTCTTTCCTTGAAAAGATGGTAGCTCAGAAGAACTTAAAAGAGAAATAAAGCTAGTCAAGTCAGGGAGTAGTTTGTTTGCTTAGTCGTTTATCTGTGTGTGTCTGTGTGTGTGTGTGTGTGTGTTAATGAAAAACAAATAAGAAAAAAATATGAAAGAGCCACTTAGTACAGAAAATGTGAGGTAGGGATGAAGAAATTGGGGCTGAAGAGGCAGGTGAGGTGAAGTCAGAGTGGATCCAGGTCAACGAGACCCCGAACTTTAGTTTGGGTCTCCCCTGACAGTACCAGGATAAACTTCAAGTACACGCTCAATTTATTTTTAAGTGTATTTGACCATTGTATTAATACACTTTACTGAGGAACTGATTAAGTTATTTCACACTAGCATTGCTACCCACCCTACCAGGGCTTACGAATAGCATACTAACCATAGTATTCGATGAAAGTATATTTATTATTTCATTTTGAAGGTATGTTGTATACATCATATTGAAATACACAGAGAAATTTGAAAGTATAACATGAAGAAGAAATAAATAATATTTTAAATATTTTTACTGGAGGAGAAATGTATTTTTATTTGTGACATTTATAAACATTTATAACTTCATTATTAACTTCTCTGTGATACAGAGCGAGGGTGCTGGCATCAATATGTAGAAGGAATATTAATAAAGCTTAACTGTTTTCTTATTTTCTAGATAAAAATACATATAAGTAGGTGTTCTACTATGTTTTCCTGCATTCTGGTAGATTTTGCATACTCTCTGTGACAGAGAAGCTAGGTTATATAAGTTACTGCAATAACCCAAATGAGAAATGACCAAGGTATAAAATAAAGCTGTAACATGATAACGATGAAAATAAATCTACTGAAGAAATGCCTAGGAAATAAAATCAGCAGGACTTAAGACCGGACGAGAGGGAAAGTCACGACGGTAAAGATTCTAGAACTTCATTCTGCAGCAGCCACTAGCCACATGTAGCGTTAAGCCTTAGTGAATAGTTCCAATTCAGATGTGCAACAAGTGTAAAATGTACACTAGATTATGAAAAGTTAGTACAAAAAATGTAAAATATCTCATTAAATGTTTTAAAATGTATCACGCAAAAGATTTATAAACAGTAACCTCATTTAAATTGGAGTTGGGAGGGCCTGTAGGGGGAGCTCTTATGCCTGACCACTCACCAGCACCTACCCCAAACTAAAAAGAGATGTACTTTCCATCTCCAATAGGAAGGTATTTTTCTACTCTACTACTCCACCTGGAAAAAGGAGAGTCTTCTCTCTTGGTAACCACTTAGCCAATGAAAAGTGGTTAAAACTCAGCCAATAAAAAGCCACTACACTTCAAATTCCCAATCTCCTCCAATGGACACTTTGTTTATAACAGCTCCTCTGAAATCTCCTTCCTCTATAAAAGAAGGTGTCTCTCCTTTGCTCTCTAGACTTGCGAGTGGTTAGTTCACCATTAGACCACATGTTCCAAATTGCAATTCTTTGCTGTTCCCAAATAAACCCATTTTTCTAGAGAATTATCTGGCTGTCTATTTGAGGTCAACAATCACGTGTTGAAATGATATTTTGGATATATTGGGTTAATAAAACCTATCCTTAATATTTGTTTCACCCGCTTCATTTTATTTTTTAATGCGGCTACCAGAAAATTTTAAAATACATATGTGGTTTGCATTATATTTATATTAGACATTGTGCTGTTCTAGAATATTCTGAAACTCCTGGGCCTACCAACTCAGAAGGAATAGAGGAGGAGAACGAACTTTTTTTAAAAGCAGGGGAGTTGATGATGAGTTCAGCCAAGATCACGCTGAATCTAAGGTACCTGCGGGTCTTAGAGAAGTTACTTGACCTCTGAAGTAAAATGGAGAGGTTAGGACTGGGGATGTAGGCTTGAACTGATCAGTGCACATATATTAGGTAACAATTAAAACTGAGTGAAATAGGCTCAAGGTAGACTCTTAGGGAAATATCAACGTTTAGGAGATGGTCAGAAAAGTGTCTGCAAAGAAATGTCAGAGAAATAAGAGCAATAATGTCATGGAAGTCAAAGGCAAGGTGAAGGTCAAGGAGTGTGTGGCTGGGAGTGCCAAATTCAGCACGGAAAGAGATGCTTAAGTGCATGCAGACGTCATCATGTCCTTAGCTATGCCAGTTATAGTGCAGTGGTGAAATCAGTCAGAATCCATAAGGTTAAAAAGTGAATGAGAAGTAAAAAATGGAGACGATGACTAAAAAGAGCTCCTTCCAGAGAATCAGTCAAAACCAGAGAACCAGTCAAAACCAGAGAACCAGCATAGACAACGGGTCAAAGGAGGGGTTTTTGTTGTTGCTGCTGCTACTGCTACTGTTTTTCAGTTTGGGGATTTTTTTCTTTTTATGGCAAGAATTCAGAATACTTATTACTATACTCTCTACCAAACAAGTGGTAGAGAGTAAGAGGCCGGTGATAGAGGAAAGACAATACAAGGACGAAGAAGATGGCGGTAGTTTTAGGAGAAGTGCACAGGAAGGGGTGGTCCTTGAACGGGCCTGGAGCTGCCAATCTCATGAGCCTGGGAGAGTGAGGGCGGATGTAGGTCCTTTGTAAGGTTATGGGTAGAAAGTTTAAGAAGGTTATCTTTGACCTTTCCAGTATTCTTGATAAGAGACTAAGTCACCTGCAGGAGAGTGAGGGTGGGAGAAGCTGGAAAGGAGGCTTGAGGGCAGTGTGAAGCACTGGGACAATCAGTATTCAAATGAGAGAGTGAACATAACTAGAATTAGTAAGAAATGGCAGACAATACACAATACTGTCAAACTCCTAGAAAATAAACTAGAGAAAATCTAGATGCCCTTGGGTATGGTGATGTGTTTTTAGACACAACACCAAAGATGCAGTCTGTGAAAGTAATAGTTGATAAGCTGGACTTCATTAAAATTAAAAACTTTTGCTCTGAGAAAGACGAGATCAAGAGAATTAGAAGACAAGCCATAGACTAGGAGAAAATACCTGCAAAACATACATCTGACAAAGGGATGTTATCCAAAATATATAAAGAAGTCTTAAAATGCAATAATAAGAAAACAAACAACCTGATTTCAGAATGGGCCAAAGACTTTAACAGACATCTCACCAAAGAAGATATATAAATGGCAAAGAAGCAATTGAAAAGATGCTCCACATCATATGTCATCAGGGAAATGCAAATTAAAACAACCACGAGGCATCACTACACCTATCAGAATGGCCCAAATCCAGAAC